CCGCGAGTCCCCCTGCCCCTGCCAGCGCAGTGCCTGTCCCCACGCCGGCTGTCGCTCGCAGGATGAACGGCCCAAGCGCAGCCCAGGCACGCGGAGTGGGGAAGCCGGTTGTCCCTGCGGGAATGTGCCGTGCCCGGGGTGAAGGGAGCCCTGCGGCATGGGCATTTCTCTTGGCAGAGGAGGGCAGGGAGCCTGTGAGCTGGAAAGGGGAGCCGGATTTCTTTGGCTTGGCTTGTTTTGCTGCAGAAAGGCGGTTTCAGCTCCAAGGGTAGGGGAAATGAAACAGAAAAATACCTCCCATTAAGCAAAAAGGATCGAGAGCCCTGCGTAATAGTGCTGTCTGCGGGGGCTTTTCGCTACGTGTTTGCATCCAGTGCGGCCTCGTGCCAGTGCCTAAAGGGAGCCTCAGCGCAGGGAGATTTGCTGCCTGCTGCTGCAGCGGGGAGAGCTCCCAGCCCGCTGTCCTGCGAGGGGGTGCACATCCCTCCCAGGCCCCCGCTGCTCCCGCCGGGCATGGGCAGCACCCGGCTGCCGGAGGCCACGCGGATCCCTGCGGAGCGCCCGGCAGGCTCTGCGAGGAAGCCATCCGGTCGGCGGGCAAGAAGGCCAGCTGGGTTCACAGCGTGTGGATCTCTCCTCCTTTGCTCCATGCTGCGGGGAGCGGAGGATGGGAGGGCTCCAGATATGAGCTCTTCTCCTATCCAGTCTCAGTCCCGGGGCAAGGTCGTCTGAGCCGGCGCTGGCCCCGCAGCAGCCCCGCGTCCCTGTGCAGGTGGCAGGCGGGCGAGCGCAGCCGGCGGGGAGCGTGCGGCGGTGCCAGCTGTGACACCCCTGCGGCTGGGAGCAGGGATGTATCCTGCAAAGGCGCACGAGCCGCGGGTGCGGAGGGGAGCAGAGGCCTGGGAAATGCAGCGTGGAGGGGGCTGTCTGGAGCTGGTGCCATCCTGGCTCGCTCACGGGTGCAAAGGGGAGGTTGCAGCGCCTGGGCTGGGGACCAGCTCGTGCCCTGCAGCTTGTGCTGCACAGGGGCTGGGGCACCACATCCTGCTGTCCTGGGGACAGGCTGTGCACGTGCGTGTGTGTGTGTGTGTGTGTGCGTGACACCGGGCAGGCGGGGGCGGCTGTTGTACTGTGTGTTTGCTGGGGGGATACGGGAAGCGGGGGCATCTGTTCCAGCAGAGCTGCCTCTGGCACCCGTCTCATTGACAAATGGTGTTTGGTTTGGTGCTGGAGCCTTAATGAAAGCGGCGCCTGCTGCAGGCACGGGGAGGAGAGCGACTGCCTGAAGTACCCGCTGGGGGAGCAGGACGAGGAAAAGGAGGTGACAATATGGTGCACAGCCTTTGGCCACGGGCACACGGCTCTTGGCAGGGCCTTGGCTATGCCTGTCTGGCTGAAATCGCCAGGGCTGCTCAGAGAGGAGGTGCCAGCCCCTTGGAAGCCCTGGCTGGAGATATCCAGGGTGTCAGAAGCCTTCGAGGGGCCAGAGAAACCCCGCTGGGATGCTGCTCTGTCCCCTGCCCTCTGCGACACCAGCCGCCCAGCACAGCCCGTGCTTGTCCCTGCCTGGAGCAGCTTTCCCTCCACCCCAGCCACCCCAGGGCTTGCAAACTCCCCTCTGCTCCCCAGGGGCTGCTGCCACCCAGCACCGAGGAACCCCATGTCCCTCCAGCACGTGAGCTCCGTGGGAGATGCCAGGGCTCTGCACTGCAATATACATCATGAAGGCAGCGCATGTCTGCAAAACAGCTTTAATAAAGCACTCTGGGCACAAGCTGGTGATCCCCGGGTCCTTCGGTCTGGAAATGGCCTCTCCTGGGGCCATGATGGTGTCCCCATGTCCCTGCACGCTCTGCCTTTTGCTGTTGGCCCTTCAGTCCCAGGTATTTTCCCCCGTCGCGGCAGCACACGGATGCAGCCAGTGCTGGCAGCATCTTCCATGGCACACGGGTGCCTGAGGCGCCTCAGAGCCACCAGTGGGGACCCGGCTACGGGAGGGTGTTTTCAGAGATGCTCTGGGACGGGATGGGGGACGACCCTGGTACTTCTTCACGGCGAGGGGGGTCCAAAGCCACCCTGGTGCTGGGGCCACGTTTCTGTCCTGCTTGTGCCCTCTAGTGGCTCCTTCCCTGCTCCGGTGTCACGGCCATACGGGGCACAGGCTGCACCTGCGGCACCACCGGCCCTGGGGTGCAAGGGGCACCGCAAAGCGTTTTGGGTGGGAAATGCAATTCCTGGTTCCTGCACGGGGACCCAAAGGCAGGGCTGGAATCCCTGGCCCGTAGCTATTTGGTGACTGCCACCAAAATGCAGTTTATTCAAGAAAAAAACAACAAATCTTGGGATTTCTTAGGCAAAGTTTCTGATCTTTTGACAGCTCGAGGCTGTTCTCTACTGCTGTGTCTCCTTTATGCCTTGTCACACCACAACCTGAGCAGAAAAAAATAAATCAACCTAACAGATTTTATTCTGCTGATGTTTCTGTTTCATCTGAGAGAAAGAAAAGCTCCTCTGCCTCCGGCCCGCAGCAGCAAACACTCCTCTCCTGCGCCCATTCAGGGAGGAGATGCTGCAGAGCCCCATGGAGCTCCTGCATCCTGCGCACGTCCCTGTTCCCATCTGCTCCCCTGCCTCGTGCATGCAGCGGGGGGACATTGCTCCTGGCCGGCCCCCCAGGCCTGGGAGGGGGATATTTCCTATCTGGAAGAGGCAGCTGTTGTCTGGGAGCATCGATGCTCTCCCGGGGGAACCAGATGAACGGAGTGAGGCCGGGATTAGCCTGTGCTGTGGCTACGGTGACAGCCGCAATGTGCACGGCAGCCTTGTCCCATCCAACCCAGCCGCACCGCCATGCAACCCAGCTGCAGGCTCATGCATGCACCGAGCCAGGCCAGGTCTCTGCATACCCTGGGGTCAGCAGTGCAGACAGCTACTGGCACACATGTTCTGCATTTTGGCTTTCTCCCTCTTCTAGCCTCGTTAGTATTGAAATTAAAAGCAAGTGTTGCCAAAGTGTGAGTTGGTAGCTGTTTTCCAGGACCCTAATTAGCAAATCTCTTCATCCCCCCAAGGCTGCAATCTAATAAAAAATAAATAAATAAAAAAGGGGATAAACAAAACAAATCCCCCACCCAAACCAGCGCCAAACCTTGTTTGATGGATCGGCTGTGCTACTGGAACAGTTGGGAGCGGCTCTTCCTGCTTAGTATGGTAATTAAACGCTTCAATTGCAATTATTTTTGCAATTAGATAAGGCTTTAATTGTTATCAGAGGTGGCAGGGGTTTGGGTGTTTGCTTCCTGGCTCTTTCTCACGGAGCCGGTGTGAGGATGGAGGCTGTGGCTGGTTCTGGGCCCGGTGGCCGCCCGCGGGACCGGGTCACGGCCGCAGGGCCCGGTCACGGGCTGCG